CCCGAGGTATGACTGTAAATGGTCACATTCTACTCATGTAAAAACACACTGATTCCCGGACCATCTGCGGGCTGGATTGAGAAGGCGATTGGGCAGGATTCGGCCCCCGGGCCTTACTTTGCCTACCCATGCTTTAGGGCATTATGACTTCCCTGCCAACTCTTTAGTCTGGACCAGGATGGTGCAACATGTGGTCCCAGGGCCACATGTGGCCCTCGAGGCCTTTTTGACAGCCCTTGGCAACATTTGATGCCCCCCAGCCCCAGCCCTCATACCTCATTGCCAAAGCCAGGTGAGGCACTGGGCTTTGGGAAGATGACAAGGTCCTAGAGTCCTCCCACCACTTTCCCAAAGCCTAGTTACATACCCTCCAACATTTCTCCAAGGAAAATAGGGATGTCCTATTCCATAACAATAATCTTATTATTTATACCCTGCCCATCTGACTGGGTTGCCCCAGTCACTCTGGGCAGCTTCCAACATATATTAAAACATAATAACATAAAAACTGTTTGCTGTTTCGCTGTTGTTCTTTCACAGGACTGAAGCTGGATTGGGGGATTTCTTATCATCTGCAAACTACAGCTCACCTTATCGCTCTTGATTCATTCAGCGAGTTCACCAGGCCTAAGCAGTGATTTTTCCATCCCTGAAAAGGGTTCAGAAGCTCAATCACGAATTATGCAGTTTGAGGAAGCAAAGACAATGAATCGAAAGCAATTTTAAAAACAAAATCAGAATCTTTTAATTGATAGATTTTATAAGATTTTATTTATTTTTTTAAAAAAGAAGAACATTTCCTATGGCATAACTGCACTGCCAGACATATCTAAAGCAATTTCTTGTGTCGCTGACATTCCCACCTTCACCCAAATGGCACCTGCACAATTATTCAAAAGCAGAGGAGCCCTGTCCCCCTCTTGTATCAGGTTAGCCAAAAGCCAGCTATTTCCGCATCTGGAACAGTAGAAGAACCAACTTCAGTCCTTGTAAGTGGGGGTTCAACCAGGGCAGGTCCTAGAGTCTTAAGACTCTCATGTCATGCATTGCTTAAATCTGTGGGTTGGGATGGCAGAATGCTTCTGAGCATGTGAAGTGAGCCTTTCCTTCTCACCTCTGAGATGACCCACTCCTACAAATGCACCAGGAAATAGGTGCCAGGAGGATACTTTGATGCAGCCTCCAGGAAGAATTGTGACCCAGCACCTCTTTGCCCATTGTGTGGGTGGTAGTATTGCATGATAAGATAGCTTCTGGGGCTTTGCATGGTGGGTTTCAAGCTTGAATGCTGGGTCCACTGAAGGCCTCCTGAATGCAATGGGGCTGGGCTTCTTAGGTGTGCCATGGCCTTTGACATGCATATCCCCATGGGTTTGTCTTACATGTGCCCATTTATGTGAATTCCCCCACCCCAGTGTTGTATAAAGCCAGAAGCCCTGCCAATAGTTTATCCAAATGCACCCTGTGGACACATGCACATTTCATGTCAGTTCATGTTTTGCATACAGCATGCAATGCGTATGACCTCCCACCCCCCACCCTCCCCAGACAAAGGGTGGTGACACAAGGCACAATTTTGGCCTGTGTGCCCCAGGCTTGTGCTAGCACCACCTCCGGATATGCTGTGAAGTGTCTGCGCACAGATATATATCAGAGAAGGAACTGAGAGCTAAACAGGAGATGCAATGTGAAACCACAATTTTAAAAAAAAAAAGTAGTGAGAAATTTAGATTGTAAATTTCTCTCATTTTTATTCCATCGCGCCACCTGCAAAGAAAACCTAGGAGTGTGCTGACTCCCTTCTTTACCCCACAATCCTTTACCAACACAACAACCCCATGTTTGCTGTGCCTTTGCAGAACAGAAGGCCAAACAATGCTCACTAGCAAATGGTGCCCGTGATTGATTAGGAGAAGCTGAAATAACTTGCCCAGGACAATACATTATCCTTTGCCAATTAACAAGAATCTATATATTATACTCGTTTTCATAGCATCGGGTGGTGGCATGTCTGGGTGTGCGCATGGCACAGGAATACATGGCTCTTCTGAACCACAGGCATCCCGTATGGCATGCGAAGTCTGCGTTTTAGCGCATGAGGGCTCTCATGCACACCGTGGTTGGCACTAGCAGAGTGAAGAGGACCATTGCATTCTGAGCGGCTGGGCATGGATCACCAGCCCATGCAATCGCAGGGTGGCTTGAGGCACCAGTGGAGTGGAAAGGTCCGTGAGCCACTGCACAGCCTGCGGGAAGGAGGAGAATGAACTGTGGCGAAGGGGCAGCGACGGGGAGGTGGTTCAGCAGCAGAGTGGCACAGGCCACACTGCACAGTCTTGGAAAGTGATGTGTTAAGGGACACTAGGCCGGTGGTTTTCAAATCATGCTCCAGAGGTTTCCTCAGAAGCACATTTGTCTTCTGGGAGAAGATCGGTCATGGCAGAAGAGGCTGCCCCTGAATTTGCCCGCTCCAACCAATTGTCAACTTCCCTGCAAAGGAGGAGTGTTGGGCATGTTCCAGCAATGTGCTTTGCTTGTGTGGGGTAACTGACTGCATGCCCTAAAGTAATTCTACAGAATCCTCTGAAAAACGTGGGCTCTTCAAAAAAACAACAACAGGTGCTTAGGGGTTCCTTAGTAGATGAGTCACTATGGAATGGGTTTGTTCGGTGATCTGTTGCAATTATACCCAAGGAGCTCAAAGCACCGTACCTAGTTCCTCCCTGCTATTTTATCCTCACAGCAAGCCTGAGTGATAAAGGTAAAGGTAAAGGGACCCCTGACCATTAGGTCCAGTTGTGGCCGACTCTGGGGTTGCGGCGCTCATCTTGCTTTATTGGCTGAGGGAGCCGGCATACATCACATGGCCAGCATGACTAAGCCGCTTCTGGCGAACCAGAGCAGCGCGTGCTTTTGAACTGCTAGGTTGGCAGAAGCTGGGACTGAGCAACGGGAGCTCACCCCATCGCGGGGATTCAAACCGCTGACCTTCTGATCAGCAAGTCCTAGGCTCTGTGGTTTAACCCACAGCGCCACCCACATACATCCTGAGTGATAGGTTAGGTTGAAAGATCATGAGTTGCCCAAGGTCACCCAGATATTCGAACCCTGGGCTCCCCAACACTCTAACTGCTACCGAGCCACAATGGATTTTGTGAATGGAACATTGAATCAGCGGTTTTCAAATGATCAAGTCTCAGGGAAACCCTTTTCCGTTAACTAACTGCTGACAGACTTCCAGTGTGCCTCCCACAGAATATTCTGGGCTTGTTGTTGGCAGCGTTGCACCTTCGGTTTGTGCCAAGTACCAATGAGACCCGTTGAATGCAGTCACTGCCTTGTGCAAATTGAGAGCAGCCTAGAACAGCAGCAGGAAAATGGATGTGGATGGAGGGCCAGTCGCAGCAGCCACCTGTCAGTCACCTGGTGTCAGGTGATCCAGAGGTGACACGCCCCCTCCATCAGCTGCATTGACAGTGGCCAGCTCCACCCTGCTGTCAGTCACCTGACGTCTGATAATATTAATTTTGAAGGGACGTGGGTGGCGCTGTGGTCTAACCCACTGAGCCTCTTGGGCTTGCTGATTGGAAGGTCGGTGGTTCGAATCCCTGTGAGAGGGTGACCTCCCATTGCTCTGTCCCAGCTCCTGCCAACCTAGCAGTTCGAAAGCATGCCAGTGCAAGTAGACAAATTGCGGGATGCGAAACACAAGAGCAGTCAAGTACAACATCCCTAGAGAGGACATAAAAGGGGATGTCTGAACCAGCCAGTCGGAACTTCCTGTTTCTCCTAGGCTGGGACAGACTTCCTCTGCATGTGACTAGAGGTGGGTGTGAATTCACCTGCCCAGGTAACAAAAGAGCAGGAATGGTCAGCCATCTCTCTCTCTCTCTCTCTCTATGACTACATTCATCAAAGAAGCAACATCTGCTTAGCCTAAGATGCTTTCTTGGCTTGCAGCCAAGAGAGGACAAAGGAGCTGTCTCCTTATGGGATAGTTTCCAGCTGTATATTACTTTTGTAACTTAAGTCTGCCTTCTAGGATCCATTTGTGAACAGAATGTGTAAGTAAACTCTTTTTATACTTTTATAGAAGACTGTGTCGTGTCTATCTTTTTATGAGGGCCTAAAAGGGAAATTACCAATGAAACTTATTTTAGAGGCTTTAGCGAGCCTGAGCAAACGCATCTGCTGTGCAAGTTTAAAAGGGGAATGTTACTCTGCTAAATTATAGAACTTGTTAATACAAGTTGGAAAGGATATAATCAAACAATATACCCTCTCCTGCATCCCTGAACATTCCCACACAAATTTTAATCGGGGGCCACAAAGGAAGAATAAGGAGTGTACCCTAAGTGCACTTCTGATTCCTGCCTTTTCAGACAAAAGTTGACCTTTTAAAAACCTGGTGCTTTTTTCTGTCGCTGTAAGCCATAGTTTGAAGTTTCCTTCAAGTATAAAATAGGCCTGGCTGACCATATTAGGCCACAGGTTCACCACCACTGCCCTGGGACATGGCCACCATCCCTCCTATGGCGCTAGGCATTGCAGGTAGGCAATCGCAGGCAAGCCCATTTTCTGTCTGCCATTATGGATCTTCTCCCTGGAGAAAACTTCTCATAACACCCCCTGGGATCTTCGCAACGCAGCTTCGGTAGCACTGCAATAGGTTCTAGTCCGCCCAGGGCAGGGGGCTGCATAAGGGATGTTACCACCGCAGTCCTTGGGAGCGGCGGAAGCAGCAGCAAAACGGAAAATTTCCTTGCAGAATCCCAATGAAGGTGGGGAAGGAGGCTTGTGTTTGTGTTGAATCATTGCATAGTATGGATGGGGGCCGGGGAGCGCAAGACGGAAGCTGCCGTTGCATAGTACGAATACGGGGAGCGGGCAAAGGAAAGGAAAAAAGAAAATCATATTGCATAGTCCGGATGGGGGTGGACAGGGCCATTGCCCCAGGCACTGAGTAGTTCTGCGTTGTGGAGCCGCAAAGAGTGCTGGGTTTAGCTGCGCCTCTTCACCTCCATGCTCTTCCCTCTTCCCGAGTCACCCTTTTGCTCTTCCTCCTCCCCCTGGCCCATGCAGACGCCCCACAGAGCCCGGGATAGGCGCTCCTTGCTGGGCACCAGCCAGGGACCAGGGACCAGGTCTGAGCGCAGCTTCCTGCTCGGCCTGGGGGAGAGGAGCTTGCAGCTGTCCCCTCCTCCCTCCACGCCCTTCCCTTGCTCCCGCAGCCTCCAGCCCCCTTCTCCATCTTCGTCTTCCTCCCCTGGAGCCTTGGTGGAGCTGCGGTGCGGCCAGCTAGGCTGGCGGGCTTTGGGGAGCTGGAGCTGGAGCCGCTGCTTGTTGCTGGGCGATGCCTCCCGGCTGCCCCCGTCACAGGGGGGCTGACCCAGATATTGGGGGCCCCCAGGCGGGTTTGCTCTCCGGTGCCGGTGCCTGCCTTTGTCCTCGGTCTCCGGCGCCTGCTGCAACCTGGCAGGGCTCTGACTGTACTCTCGGTCTGGAGGGAGAAAAACACAGAACAGGAGAGATTAGACCCTGAAGACATCCTTCCTCAGCAGGCATAGGCAAACTTTGGCCCTCCAGATGTTTTGGGACTACAACTCCCATGATCCTCAGCTAACAGGACCAATGGTCAGGGACGATGGGAGTTGTAGTCCCAAAACATCTGCAGGGCTGAGTTTGCCTATGCCTGGTATAAGGCAAGGTGGGCTGCATGGAGTGGGTGGGTCTTCGGTTTTGTTTTGAAAAAGGAGACAAAAGAAGAACCTCTCATCCCAAGCTACACCCTGCCTTGGGGGTAAAGTTGCCAAGATTTGATTTCAAAATGCTGGCATTCTGGGCAAGGCCAGGCAGGTAGCACCAGGGCGGGCAGATACTGGTGGGGTGGAGACAGGACAGAATGTGGAATGCGGCTGCCTCTCCATTACCTAAAATAATCACCAGCTATATTTTAAAAAATACTCCTTGAAGCAGGCTTCCTCAGCCGCAGCCCTCCATATGTTTTTGGCCTACAACTCCCACAATCCCTAGCTAGCAGGACCAGTGGTCAGGGATGATGGGAATTGTAGTCTCAAAACATCTGGAGGGCCGCCTTTGAGGAAGCCTGCCTTGGAACTACGCTGTGGAGCTCCAGCGTCCAATTCTGCCCAGGAATCCACATCCCTCAGGATACTCTGATACGACCCCTCATCTCTGAAACCTTAGGGCAGCCTTCCTTGATCTTTGGTCCCCAGGTATTGTTGGACTACATCTCCCATCATCCTTGACCATGGGGCCATGCTGGCTGGGGATGATGGGGGTTGTTAAAAGGTAAAGGGCCCCCTCACCATTAGGTCCAGTTGTGGCCGACTCTGGGGTTGCGGCGCTCATCTCGCTTTACTGGCCGAGGGAGCCGGCGTACAGCTTGTGGGTCATGTGGCCAGCATGACTAAGCCGCTTCTGGCGAACCAGAGCAGAGCACGGAAACGTCGTTTACCTTCCCGCCGGAGCAGTACCTATTTATCTACTTGCACTTTGACGTGCTTTCGAACTGCTAGGGTGGCAGGAACTGGGACCGAGCAACGGGAGCTCACCCCGTCACAGGGATTCAAGCCGCCGACCTACCAATGGGCAAGTCCTGGGCTCTGTGGTTTAACCCACAGTGCCACAAACAATTTATGGGGACTCAAGATTGGGGAAGGCTGCTTTACTGGGGGGTGGGGGGAGAGATCTGCTGTTTTCTGGGATCTCCCTGAGAGCTCCCTTGGGTTTCTTCTACTGCCCTTTGAGGTCTCCAGATTGGATCTAGGCTCTAGGAGTATGAGAACTTCCCTCTGCAATGTTTTCCACTGAGAAGGCCTCTCTGCCCCACCAGTTTAAAGTGGTTCAGCTGTTGTGGCTTCCCTCCAAGGAACCCTGGGAAGCGTCCTCACACCTCCCAGGCTGCTTTCCTGCCCTCTGGGCTTCTAGAGGCAGGATCCTACCCAAACTTCCCTTTTGCCTTGGGGGTGCCACCACAGGCCAGCTTGGCAACATGGCACTTGGACCGTTTGTGTATGTCCTAGCTGGGCTGGAGGGAGGCTTCTAGGCGTGGGGGAGGAGCTAGGTGGGTACAGCAAGTTGGAAAGAGGTTTGGGGAGGAATCCAGTATTACATAGACAGGTCTAGAACGTTTCACAACGTGCTAATATGTGGAGGAGGAATCCCAGACAAATCAGTGAGAAATGGAAAATGGGGGAGGCAACCAGAGGCAATGGTAGCTATGGCCAGGGCATACGGAAAAAATCACAATTCTGCACTGTGAAAGCTGAATTATGCAAGCGTGAATATTTAGATTGCATAATTTATTCTGTTTCTACTAGCCAATGGCCTCCGCAAGGCACAGAAGTATCTGCCTTTTAAGTTTTTTTTTAGCAAGCACTATCCGCATGCTTTAAAGACGGTCTTCAAAACCCCAAGGGTAAGGAATTTGCTATTAAAAGAGAAATTATAATGTGTCACTCAGCCAAGACTTGCAATTTAACAAGTGATTGCAAGCGGGGAATTGGCTCTGTGACATTACAACCACCAACCAAGCACTACTTCTCGCGGCTGGCTTCTGCTATTTTAGCAATCAGCCCTGCAAAATGGAAGTATGTTTGGACAGAACGCACAGGTGCCCCCTTGCTATGAAAAGGGCACGTCTGTCTTCAGCCCGGGAGTCTGAAGCGGCTGCATTATGCAGCTCATACCAAAATTCTGCTCCTTTTCTGTACTTGTGCAGAACTGCAGAATACACACAGCTTTGGCTTCGGGGGGGAAGGTCTGTTGGGGTGATGCTGGGGAAACAGGGGCAGGGAGACCAGGGAAGGGTCCTAATGTGGTGGTGGGAAGTGAGGGGAAGAAGGAGAGGTGGCTCCACCTGTTGCAAAGTTCTCATTGCTCTTGTTGTTTGAGGATGATTCCCTGGGAGACTATGGGAGAGAAAGGGACTGGGCTGAGTGGTTCTGCTGGTCCGGCTGGGGGCTGGACACCCACCATTTATGTTCGACCCGTCCCACGAGGCAGAAGCAGGGCTCCCCCCGGGGGGAGTTGGTCACGCAGAGAGCCAGACTGGCCAGCGGCTGCCCTGTGGGGCGGAGACAGATGGAGACTTTGGGGGCGGAGAGGAAGTGATAGGGAAGTTACAAGGCCAGCACAGACCGGGAGTAGGGGATGGAGCCATCACAGACCAGGAAGGCAAAGCAGACCAGAAAAGGTTAAGGTGAGGTTGGCACAGATTAGGCAGAGAAGTGGGGGGGGAGGGGGGGTCAGACAACACCATGAGTGGGTCGAGGTGGTGTATGGTGGGTCAGACGGACGAAGGACGGCAGGGCAGGAAAGAAAAAAGAAGAGGAGAGAGGGGTGAATATTGCAGACCCAGAACCTGCCTCTCTGCAGAGAAAAGGCGGGGAGTTTTGAAAATCTGTTTTGTCCTTAGTGTTAGTATGTATACTTTTTATTGTTGTAAGCCCCTTTGGACAGATTTTGCTCAGAAAAACAGCATATAAGCATATTTTTAAAGAAACTGGGAGAAGTCCATTACAAGGCCTATCATTCTGGGTTACGGCACCTCTCTTGAAACAGAGAAACTAATCGTGGTTTTCCTCCTCTCCCTTAAGGGTTAGGGGAAAATTTGCTGGTGGGGCGGGGAGCGTGCCAGACTATTCCCACCTGAAATTTCCACCTGGGCCATCCCATCTCCCCTGCGATCATTTCTCACATGTTGCATTAATCATGGGGTTGGCTTGAGCCTATCTCTACTTTGGAGGAAGAGAGGGATGGGCAGAAAAGACCAGGTCTGTGGACATACCATAATCAGGAACGAACCCGTTGCCCCTCTTCAGCACCAGGCGTATCCGGCTCCCCCCGTTGCGGATGTGCTCCACAGCTTGAGCATGCGTCATTCCTGCTGTAGGCTCTCCGTTGATCTCTACCAGCTGGTCGCTCACCTGCCACGGTGTAAAACTCACCATCACTGCCAAGAGCTGGCTGGGGTTTTGCTTTGTTCTGGAGATTTCACAATGTGTTTCCACACATTGGATAGGCAGGACAATAATGGGCCTTCTCGGTAGTGGCGCCCGCCCTGTGGAACGCCTTCCCATCAGATGTCAAGGAAATAAACAACTATCTGACTTTTAGAAGACATCTGAAGGCAGCCCTGTAGCGGGAAATTTTTAATGTCTAATGTTTTACTATCTTCTATGTGCTGTAAGCCGCCCAGAGTGACTGGGGAAACCCAGCCAGATGGGCGGGGAATAATAATAATAATAATAATAATAATAATAATAATAATAATTGTAAGGCTGAATGTAGAATATACTGAATATAGAATATGCACAGCTCCACACAGAACACACACATATTGCTGCCCTTTCAGGGGAACCTGATAATCTCATTTTGCAGCATTAAAGTAACACTTTTTGAGTGCTCAGAATGCTCTGCATGCATTATTCTTGCGTATTCTTTTTAAAGCGTGTCTGGTAGGCCAATATAATTATCCATGGGGGGGGGATTGTGTTGAGGATTAGTGTCTTGCTTAAGGGTACTTAGCAAGTTCGTGGGTGATGGTAAAATTTGAACTGGGCACTTCCTGACTCACAGATCACATTTTTAGAGCAGAGCCACGTTTCTGTCGTGTTCCCGGGTGAGGCTCTCCTAGTGGTTTCCCGTTCATGGAACCAGCCAGGTTCGCACTTGCCCGCAGCACTGGGTGTTCCCAGACCGCATCACATACCTGAATCTTGCCACATTGCTGGGCTGGTCCACCCTCCATGAGGGCCAAGACATAGATGTCCATGTTATATTCACTTCCGCCTCTCAAACTGAAGCCAAAGCCGCTGGGTCCTCGTAGCAGCTCCACAGAATATTGGCCAGTCTCCTGAAGAGCAGAGAGCAAGAAACCACAAAGGCAGGTGTAAGGATTGCCCCGAGTTATTGTATCAGACTATGGGGTACAGCAAGGGCAGGGAAGCTGTGGCTTTCCAGTCCATCAGCCCCAGCCAGCACAGCAAATAGTCAGGGATGGTGGGAGCTGCAGCCAAGCAACACCTGCAGGGACACAGTTTCCACATCCCTGTAGTGAAGCAACCTGTCTCCAACTCCGGCAGCCATGGGTGCTTTTGAGAGCTCACAAGTGTATGCGCCAAGTTACGGCTGACTTATTGTCAGGCTTATTGTGTGTTGGAAGGCCTCTTTGGGCCTTCCACTACCGTGGGGAGATCCAACAGGGCTTTCTGCCATCACAGCCCAGCCCCTCAATATTAGGGGAGCTCAACTCCATCCCCACATACTTTGGGGGGGAGCTGAGGTGTCCTCAGCCCTATAGAGTTGGCGCCTATGCTCACAAGGAAGGTTTGAGGGTGGTGGTCACCCCCTTCTTGTAGCCTCCCCTCATCTGATACCCAGAGAGGAATACTACCCTAGATCATGGCTGCTTCGCCTTGGTTAGCATGAGCAACAGGTGTGAATAGTTGCAAATTTCCCCAGTCCTTTTTCAAAACTATCTAAAGGGCCTGCTCACACCTGAATGCAGGAGGTGATGGAAGGTGCCTGCCTGTGGCAATAGGTTTGCAATGGTACATTCACACCTGCAAGTCATCAGTGCAGTTATGTGTGAGGGGCCAATGCCAAGGCATCGCCATACCTTGTGGTGGCGTTCCCACTTAGCTCAGAACTGAACCTGAGTGACACCCAGCAACCTAACCCAAACTAGAATTTAGTGGTTCTTGAGTCATTATGTTAAAACGAAGCCATTTGCTCCTTTCTTCCACAGATTAGGATGCAGAGGTATCACAAGAGAAGCTTTCTCTTTCACAACCCAGATAGAAGGAAGTGAGGGGCAGGCATCCCTTGTAAAATATGACCCAGGACAAGGAACCGTGTCCAATTCATGAAAGAGATTAGCTGACTATGGTTTAGACTGACACAACACCCAATCAGATCACTTCATCTCTCGACGTACTAGTTCTTCTAGCTCATCTCTTCCCTGCCCATGATCCTGGAGGTAGAACAAAGCCATCGGGACAACCTGTAGCCATTCACATCTGAAGGCAGCCCTGTTTAGGGAAGCTTTTAATGTTTAACCTAGCAGTTCGACTGCCAACCTAGCAGTTCGAAAGCACGTCATGTGCAAGTAGATAAATAGGTACCGCTCCAGCGGGAAGGTAAACGGCGTTTCCGTGTGCTGCTCTGATTCACCAGAAGCGGCTTAGTAATGCTGGTCACATGACCCAGAAGCTGTCTGCGGACAAACGCCGGCTCCCTCGGCCTATAGAGCGAGATGAGCGCACAACCCCAGAGTCGGTCACGACTGGACCTAATGGTCAGGGTTTCCTTTAATGTTTAATATGTTATTGTATTTTAGTGTTTTGTTGGAAGCCACACAGAGTGGCTGGGGAAACCCAGCCAGATGGGCGGGGTATAAATAATACATTATTATTATTATTATTATTATTATTATTATTATTACTATTATTATTTTCACCTCCTTTTAAAGCCCTCCAAGGTGGCTATTCCTACATTGTGTCGTAGCATAAATAAGTACTTCTGTTTGTCTGACCTGCCCCATCTTTATTATATTAATTTGTGGTTATTATAACTACTGCCAGGAGGTACGTGCTCCTTGACTGAGCGACACCGTTTCTCCGCACAACAGCCACCTTATAGGTCTGCCTTTCCCCTATACAAAGTGAAGTCTGTCCAGCTCCACCAATCCTGGATCTCTCACAGGCAGCAGCAGTGGAGCGGGCAAAGACAATGGAGCCCACAGGTCACTGCAGACACGAGAAACTGAGTGGCACACACAGGCCAGCAGGGAAGTAAGTGCCGAGCGCCAAGGGTGGAATCGGAAAAGGGTTGCAGGGCCAGTCCTTGCCTGGGGTATAGACCTGCCAGCCAGCCCTGACTCACCCTTCGCTCTAGCTCCATCCTCCCCCACTTCTGACCACCTTTCAAACCTAGCACCCAGAAGGCCCCTTCTCCATCCAGGGTCCCCAGTTACCCATTCCCAGGGTTTTCAATACCTGGGGCTGGGATAGGCGGTAGGTGGGGCTCCGGGGACATTCGCCTACATCAATATCAGCTGTGTTCAAATCGCTGGAAACTCCTGGAAGTGAATCAAAAGAGTCAGCATGAGTCTCCACTGCCCCTTCCTTCCTTCCTTCCTTCCTTCCTTCCTTCCTTCCTTCCTTCCTTCAATCCCTCAGCACCTGCCCTCCCTCCTCCCTCAGGCCTCCTTCTGCAATGCTCCCACCAACCCCCATTTTCTACCCTTGCTCGCCTTTCCCAGGCTCCCTTGCTCCTCACTTTATGCCCCTCACCATCCCCTCCCCCAAACGCCCGCTGCAATTGCTTACCTGCGTCCTTGCGATTCCGGACCCTCATTCGCACCCGGCTCCCCGCCTGTCGGAAGATGCCCCCGACATCGCCGTGGGATAGCCGCGCTAAGAGCCCACCATCTTCCTGATGAGAGGGACCCTCTTCTGGATGGGGCAATAGGGAGCTGGCTGGGAGGAGAGAGAGCAGATGGATCAAAGCATAGCCTCCCACTCTTTGGAGCTGTAGGTTAAACCACAGAGCCTAGGACTTGCTGATCAGAAGGTCAGCAGTTCGAATCCCCATGATGGAGTGAGCTCCCGTTGCTCGGTCCCTGCTCCTGCCAACCTAGCAGTTCAAAAGCACATCAAAGTGCAAGTAGATGAATAGGTACCGCTCCGGTGGGAAGGTAAACGGCGTTTCCGTGTGCTGCTCTGGTTCGCCAGAAGCGGCTTAGTCATGCTGGCCACATGACCCGGAAGCTGTACGCCGGCTCCCTCGGCCAATAAAGTGAGATGAGCGCCGCAACCCCAGAGTCGGCCACAACTGGACCTAATGGCCAGGGGTCCCTTTACCTTTACCTTACTTGATTTTTTCAGACCTAGGAGACACGATTAGCCCCAAGGTCCATTTGGGGACTCATTCTTCAGCCACAGCACTGCTGGTGTGGCTGTTACTGGGAAATTGGAAGGGGGGGTGAGAAACCTCCTCCCATGAACCTTGCCTCTCCCCAGCATGAGGCAAAGGCAAAGAGCCTCTGCTGCCTATTACCAAATGTAGCAATTCACTGATAAATGTACTGGCTCAGTGGGAATACTTTAGAAATTCATAAGAAATCACATCATTGTATCGTTCTTCTCAGTTCCAATGGCACTTAGGACCCAGGGAAGTGATGTCTAAGGGGAGGTTAGTGAGCCCACCATAACCCCCACATCAGCAGGGCCTTCCCAAGGAGTCATGGCAGATGATATCCTGCCATGATGAGTGTCAGACCATCTCAATCACAACCTTCTCAATCACAATGCCTACCCACCCCAGACCAGACAACACAAAGGGGTGTATTTGGCTTAACTCAGGTATGTGTGAAAGACTATATTTGAGTGACAGGGGCATACCTGGATCTCAGGTTCTACCTGCAATACCTTTTCTGCCACATATCTATGATGTCTTGATGATGCATCCTGAGGGGTATTATGGGAAACTTTGGGAAACTTTAAAATATGGATGTAACCATTGCTCGGGGCTTCTGGCTGCTTCATCTCTATGGTAATGGGAAGCCTTGTTGCAGCAATAAAGATCATGCCTACAGGCCGCTGTTTTGCTTCCATCTCCTGACTGAAGTCTCTTGCTTGTGATATAAGTAAAAAAATTGCTCCTTTTCCCTTATGGGGTACCCAAGAGCCCATATAGAGTCCTTTTGTAGGTTCTCTATCGTTAGGAGAAAATAACAGAGACCAACCAGAGAATATTGAGAATCAAAGCAACTAGTAAGCCTAATCTTTATTGACTGTTGCAACAGGGTGCTCCCCCACATGCAGGAAAGGAGGACCTTGAACAATGGTGCGCAAGGCCTTATATATGCATTTTGAAATTCCCTGCCATCGAGCTCCAGACCACCCCTCCATACATCATACATACATCACAGAAGGGGTGTAGCCCAAGACCACCCCCCACAAACATCATACCTACATCACAGAAAAGACGGTCTACAACAGAAATTTGAATGTTGTTGTTTTTCCTGTCTGCCAGGTTATGTGATAATAATGCCTTATCTGATTGCCTTTCCTGATAGTCTAGCCATTCCTCTAAGATGGTAATTACTTCATTCCTGAGACAATGGGAAGGTTTTTTTTTCCATTTCCTCCCCTCCTTGCAGAGAAACATTTGGTCAGTTTGGGAGTTAAAATGGTTTCAGGACTGTCTTCCTGTGCTGCTTCAGACATGTGGTTTATATATTTATATACGTGTTTGCTTGGTACATTTATGAACATTTAATATACCGTATTTTTCGCTCTATAAGACGCACCAGACCACAAGACGCACCTAGTTTTTGGAGGAGGAAAACAAGAAGAAAAAAAATCTGAATCTTAGAAGCCAGAACAGCAAGAGGGATCACTGTGCAGTGAAAGCAGCAATCCCTCTTGCTGTTCTGGCTTCTGGGATAGCTGCGCAGCCTGCATTCGCTCCATAAGACGCACACACATTTCCCCTTACTTTTTAGGAGGGAAAAAGTGAGTCTTATAGAGCAAAAAATACGGTATATCTAAGACCTTAAAATTCTTATAACACTTGTGACCCCCCAACCTGAACCTATGGGAGTCAAGGTTAGGCAATTGCAGAGTGCGCCAATGACTCCCTTATACAGGCCTGCAAAGCAGCAGCAAGCACTAAACCACCAGCTGAAGATGAGTGCAGCTATGACCCAGCTGCCCCATGGATTATGGCCCCCATACCAGGATCTTCTGCCCATGAAGTCACATGAGTTGAGTGCCAGACTGGGAGTTCGAGAGGGAATTTACTTAAGAAATTCATTAGAAGCGCCAGAGACAGAGAAGTTTAAAGCGTTAAAATCGAGATGTGGAAAATATGGAAACAACGAGGAGAAGCAGGACTGAGATTTGGAGATACGCTTCAAGGTCCAGACTATGGGAAGCCCCCCAAAATTAATAATTATAATTTGGAAGATAATTTGACCTTTTTTTACTTTAGTTTTTTATTTTTATTGGATTATGATTTGATATGTTAATTGGATGTTTTTTATTGGAAAATTAATAAAAATGATTTAACAAAAGAAAAAGAAATTCATTAGAAGCAAGATAACTTATCTGATGGGACAGCCCCCAGTAAATGGTATAAAGAGGCATCATGACTCTGGCAGGGGAGGCAGAACACAGCTCCCATGGCTAGTAGCCTTCAATATCCTTCTCCTTCAAGAACCTGCCTATTTTAAAGACATTCCAGTTGGCCATTGCTGCCTGTTGTGGCAGTGAGTTCCATAGTCTAGCACTGCACTGCGTCCACCCAATAACATTGGTCTCGGTCTGCCAGGAAATTTTCTCACCCAAAGCTGCTAATCATACATGCGTTTTGAATCACCTCACTTATCACTTGGGAATCTTCCCTTGCATCGCCAAAGCTCACAAATCATGCTTTTCTCACTTTAAATATCTTTGCATCCCCTTGAGCTTATGTGGAAGAAGATTCTCCCCAATCTGCCTGCTCTAGATGCTGATCTCCACTGCCTTGTGACTTGACCCAGATGCAATCGGACTCTCTGTTCTCCATCGAAACTGGCAGGAACAGGAGAGGGACTTGGCAGCTTCACTGATGCCTGAACACTTATTTTTTTTCTTTTAAAAAAATCTGTGCAATACTGTGTGCACCAGCAAGGTTACGCATGCATGTCCTTGAAGGGTCAACACCCCTCCCCGTCCTCCTGGGGATGACAGCCACAACGGTGGCAGGGAAAGGGGTAGAAAGCAGGTGAGTGACAAGGCTATTCCTCCAGTCTTGTCCAGTTCCTAGGAGAGCAGACTGGGGGAAAGTGAACAAAATCAGGATAGCTGGAACACTATCTAGTTTATAGGGAGATAAAAGTTAAAATGTATTCCAGGAACAAAAAATATTATTTGTTTTCTTAAATTGCCTACTCAGAGTAGACTAAAATGTATGTGCCATTCTTAAGTACAAAATGAATGTGGCTTAAAAAGCTGTGTTTTCCAAGGAACTACAGCAGAGGTCAGCAAACTTGACCTTGTGGGTGGCCGGACTGTATTTTGAAGGGGGGGGGAGAACAAATTCCTATGCCCCACAAATAACCCAGAGGTGCATTTTAAATAAAAGCACACATTCTACTCATCTAAAAACATGCTGATATCTGGAACGTTCGCGGGCCGGATTTAGAAGCCGATTGGGCCGGATCCGGCCCCCAGGCTTTAGTTTGCCTACCCATGAACTACAGGATTGGTATGGACTGTGACTCACATCATGAGTGTGGGGCTTCAAAAACAGGCAGTGGGAGCACACAGGATGTGGAGTATGGAAAGGTGAACATACCTGTAGTTCTTCTCTCCCCAAAATACTGAGAACAAGAGCTGCCTTTGAAACAAAAACAAGCATGTTCCAAAAATGTGCTTCCCCTTTCCACATACCCTGCCCTGGGTGTTGTTCCAGTCAATGTTTACTTGCCAGAACCTGAAAATTTAACTCAGTGCTAGGGCTCTCTCACAAGCAGACACACTTATGTTATGGAATCATAGAACTGAAGAGTTGCAGAGTTGGAAGGGACCCTGGCAGTCATCTAGACCAACCCCTGCAATACAGAAATCTCAGCTAAAGCCATTCAACCTCTGCTTAAAAACCAAGGAAAGAGAGTCCATCACTTCCCAAGGGAGACAATTCCACTGTCAAACAGCTCTTACTATCAGAAAGATATACCTGAGCTATCTCCTTTCTTGTAACTCAAATCCATTGGTTTCGTGTCCTTAATTCACGTAAGTATATGCATGTACACACACACACAACCTAAGACACAGTCTCTCTCTCTCTCTTGTCTTCAGTACAAACTCCATACAACCTTTAAACACTAAAGGGATTCTTCAGGATGGTTCCGGCTGCTTTCTCATCCACACAACAGGTGATGCTGATGAACTTTGCCAACAGAAAGTGGACGAGACCCAAGTTCACATCAAAGCCATGTTCTGCTGAACAATGTAGCTTTAATGATAGAAGTCAGAAATGCTATGGGCACCCTGCCCACAACTCCCTCCTCGGAAAAGCTTTCAGCCTCACCTGGCCTCTAGCATATCCTCCATTCTTAGGTGGGTTCACATAACACCCTCACTGGCTCTTCAGCTTCACCCCCCAAAAATTAGTTGACTTGCCTGAACTAGAAAGACCAAAGGGCTTTCGCAAGGCTGAAGTCGTGACTCCGGTTCGTTACAGATAAACATCACCCATACACACACATTTGCAATTTGAACAATATCCAACCTGCCCAATTCCTTCCTCTCCCGCACAATAAACACCCCGATCTTACCCGTATAAGTAGAGAGCCCCCTTTCCCCCCCTTTGGCAAGACGGACTAAATCACTTTTAAGTATTCCTCCCCGCTGCGCACCCCCGCCACACTTTCTACAAGGTAACACTTCCCTCCCGTCCTTCGACTACAAAGCAGAAAGCGGCGGCAGGAGTTAGGTATTTACGCTTGAGGTCCTGGATATGGCGCAGGAAGGTTTGGACTTGCTCAAACATTTTCAGGGTAGATGCAGGAGGGAAGCGGCCAGGTCCAGGGGCAGAGTGGGGAGTGGGTTAAAATCCACAGCCGCCCTCCCACCCCAAGGCTGCGCCTGCTTTTCCAGCAACCCTTCCCCACCCCTCTCCTCTGCCCCCTTCACAGGAATTTCTCCGCACAAGGCTTTGCCTGATAAGCCAAGGGCTTTTGGGGGTGGGGGCGGGCGGAGTGGCTGAAGCTTAACCTGTTCAGAGCCACGAGGGACATTTTGTTCCCTGGGCGTACAATGAGAGTTCCTGGTTACGCCACTTACAACAGTTCCTGCTCCAGTTTCCCCAAGCGCAAGGCAGTGTGAGAGACAGGTGCTTCTTCAAAAGCAGCAGAAGCTGCCATTTCCCCATCAAGAACTGTGGAGGAGAGAACCCTGCCTTTATTCTATGCAGACAGGAGACAAAAATGTATGTCTATACTGTTGCATAAGCTTTTATATCAGTTTCTGGGAGTTGTGAGGAAGGTGCCTGACAATCCTTAGCTATCTGATCCCAGCACCCAAGAGCTGGAGTTCTCCAAGTTCCGTGGGGAAAAGGATGGATGTCAAAATCAGTCCATCAAAGGGTTTTGTGGCACCTTAAAGACAAACAGGCTCATTTGTCAGGTGCATCCAAACACGCTGGAAAATGGCACCAGTTTTAAAATCTGTAACATATATATGCCCAACGGGGATGGCAAACCAGGAGTTACGCCCCCATGGTAAAAGGTAAAGGGACCCCTGACCATTAGGTCCAGTCTTGGCCGACTCTGGGGTTGCGGCGGTCATCTTGCTTTACTGGCTGAGGGAGCCGACGTTTGTCCGCAGACAGTTTTTCTGGATCATGTGGCCAGCAGACAGATTTTCTGGGTCATGTGGCCAGCATGACTAAGCCGCTTCTGGTGAACCAGAGCAGCACACGGAAACCCTGTTTACCTTCCCACTGGAGCGGTACCTATTTATCTACTTGCACTGGTGTGCTTTCGAACTGCTAGGTTGGCAGGAGCAGGGACTGAGCAATGGGAGCTCACCCCGTCGCGGGGATTCGAACCACCGACCTTCTGATAGGCTCTGTGGTTTAACCCACAGTGCCACCCGCGTCCCACACCCACGTGGACGCAGACATTAACAAGTTGTAGTTATATATTGGTGTCAACGTTGGCAAGTGAGAGATCCCTTGCCACACTTTTGTTCAGCAGAAGCTTCATATTCTGCTTTGTGGGTGACACTCTGCATTGTCCTATTTTGAATAAATTATCCAATAAATTTTAGTTTTCAGACCTTATCCATATGTTCACATAAGCAGCTCCTTTATAGGAGTGCAGGAAGCCGCTGCCTCATACTGTGTCAGTATTGTCTACACTGATTGGCCGCAGCTCCAGGGTTTCAGACCTGGAGACGGCCAGGATTGACCCTGGCAGCTTCTGCAGGTAAAGCCAATTCTCTACCACTGAACTCTGACCCTTTCCTTTTTATGGGCATCATTAAAAGCCTAAATCCCTCCATAGCCCTGCTAGGCTTCCAATGTAATGTATGATGTAGTTTCGATGAGGGGCATGATCCTTAAATGCTCAGGAAGATCTAAAGAAAGGGTGTATGAAACAGTCCACAGAATCCATAGCATCTGACACTGTAGCTGTACAGCTTTCTGAAACTGAATAGCAGGGAAATTTGGAAAGGCACAGGCTGTGTCTGCTGACCCACAAATCAAAGGGGAGCTTGGAAGTTTCCACTGAATAGGGATTCTATTCAGTGCATAAAGGACCTCTGACAGTCAAGTCTAGTCACAACGACTCTGGGGTTGCGGCGCTCATCCCGCTTTATTGGCTGAGGGACCTGGCGTTTGTCCGCAGACAGTTTTTCCGGGTCATGTGGCAAGCATGACTAAGCCACTTCTGGTGAAACCAGAGCAGCGCATGGAAACGCCGTTTACCTTCCCGCTGGAGCGGTACCTATTTATCTACTTGCACTTTGACGTGCTTTCGAACTGATAGGTTGGCAGGAGCTGGGACCAAGCGACAGGAGCTCACCCCATCACAGGGATTCGAACCGCCGACCTTCCGATTGGCAAGCCCTAGGCTCAGTAGTTTAGACCACAGCACCACCCACGTCCCTTCATTCACTGTTTTCTGTTCAGCCTTTTACCATCGATCACTGTACAATATCTTCTAGATGGGACCCTGTTTTAACCCCCCTTTCTACCCAACTAGACTGATGGCAACGAGGAGAAGGCCCTTTGCAGCACAGACGGCTCTGAATGGCACTCCCTCCCAAAGACTTGCTGTGTTTTAACTTTCAGTCTGATTCAGAGGGGGGCAGCTTTTTATTTCAGCTGGCTTTCGAAGCAAGAGAGAGTGAGGATGGCTGATTTCAATTTGAGGCGACGTGGTTGTGCTGCTTTTAGGTTATTTAATTTTCTTTAGCATGCTGCCTTTAAGCAGCTGAATTTGACATGGAATTTTGCGATCTTGTGTTCTCCCATGTCTCTTGGCAGCAGCGGACCTCGGCGTCTCAAATTTCAATCGGCCTGACACCAACATCCGGTGCCCCACTGCCTCTTGCCTTCCGCTGGATGTCATAGCTGTGGTGCCCCAGCTCAGAAGCTCTGCACCCGGTGCACCCAAACCGGTCACACTGCCCTAGATTCGCCTTTGCTCTCGGCATTTAGTGAACCACCATGAGGGATTTGTAGAACACAGTGGGGTTAAAAAATAAAGATAAACGAGCAAACGAGCCATTTTTCTGATTCTGTATTAAAGCAATTATTTCAATGAATAGCCCATTAAGACATGCCACTCAGATATGCAGAACCCATTTGAAGCAGACTGAATGCAAAATTTGGAATGGGGGGGCGGCGGCAGTGGTAGGCACAAACTATTCCTCAGAAGAGATAGGTCCATTATGGTGAATGGGGCCCCACCAACATGTGTCTGCCCTCAGCAAGCCCCCACCTGCCTGCCTTCTTTCTTACAGTCACCCCAGAGAGTGGCTCTGCCAGTCTGCATACTCCTTTTTAGGTGGAATCTACACACATATAGTGGGACACGGGTGGCACTGTGGGTTAAACCACTGAGCCTAGGACTTGCCAATCAGAAGGTCAGCGGTTCGAATCCCTGCGACGGGGTGAGCTCCCGTTGCTCAGTCCCTGCTCCTGCCAACCTAGCAGTTCAAAAGCACATCAAAAGTGCAAGTAGATAAATAGGTACCGCTCTGGCGGGAAGGTAAACGGCATTTCCGTGCCCTGCTCTGGTTCGCCAGAAGTGGCTTAGTCATGCTGGCCACATGATCCAGAAGCTGTACGCTGGCTCCCTCAGCCAATAAAATGAGATGAGCGCCGCAACCCCAGAGTCGGCCACGACTGGACCTAATGGTCAGGGGGCCCTTTAACTTTTTTACACACATATAAAAACCATTCTGAAAATGCTTTTTTTCTAAAAGTGTTTTTAAAAATACATTGAATTTTCTATAAGGCTCACCATCGCCGTCTAGTGTCACATTGTATATTGCGCTTCAGACACACTTAAAGCGTTTTATTTGCAGCTGTATATCTGAGTCTTTCGTCTCAGTGTTGCCTTTGTGGAACTCAGTGGGGAAGAGGATGGGGCCAAAGTCAGAATGAGTTGGCTCTGCCTGTCATTGGCTCTGGCTCCACCTCCTGTTTGGGCTCCTCCCCTTCCACCCAATGGGCACCCGCCACCACTGCTCTTCCCTGCTGCAAGGGGGTGTGCCTTTTCCCACAGCCTCACCTGCTCTCACAGCTCCACTTCCATCTGTTGCTATGGCGACGCCGCTGTTGCATCCATGGTCTTCTTTGGGGCCATCCACACCTCCTGTGGGCTCCCCAGCCCCTCCCGCTGGCCGGGGCCTCCTCAGCCTCTGGGAACAACGAGCAGGACACACAAGTACATCCCGGGGCTCGGGGCCCACAAAACTGGTCACAGCCAAAGTGTCAGCCGGGGGAGCTCCCCAAGTGTTAGGAGTATCTCGGGAAACTCCTTTGTTGTGGCAAGAATCAGGCAAGAGGTGTTCTCGTCTGAAAGAGCAGTTTTCCTGGGGATGTCTCCGGGAATGATGACCTGCAGGGACAAGAAGGTAGGGTTGAGTAGGTCTGAATTGACACCAGACCCCGTCACATACCACAGTGATCTCTCTGGGGTTTGAAGTGCTTAGCAAGCCCTCACCTCAAGTCTGTACAGTGGTACCTCTAGTTACAGACTCGATCTGTTCCGGGGTGCTCTTTGCACCCCGAAAAGTCTGCAACTAGAGCATCGCTTCTGCACATGCATGTGGCGCAGTAGAGCGCTTATGTGCACGCATGAGGTGAGACATGCAGAGTGCTTCTGCGCATGCGCGCACGCATTCGTAACCTGAAAAAATGCAACCGGAGGCTGACGTAACAAGAGGTACAACTGTATATCCACTTCTAGCTATCAGAATCACATCCTATTTCTGATAATTCACATTTGTTTCAGTTACAGGTGCTTTGTGTGTGTAACTGCTCTGTCCATTTGGCAAATTGCTAGGAAAAAACAGGTCGTGGCTTTCAACAATGCAACTAAGCATGACATTCATTTTGTAAGAGGTAGCGTCTTTCTGTTGCAGCTGAAATGAATTTGCACCTCTAAAATTATCCTGTGTGAATTTTGACAGGCAATAGTTCCTTTATTACATTTATAGCCTACGTTTCTTCAATTAAGGTGGGATCTATATGGATCCCAGGTGGCCTGCCATCCAGGTACTGGCTGTGGATCTGCAGGCAAATCACAGATTGCATGGTGGCTAAACAGTCACAAACAAGGGACTCTAGGATGTTTAAGGACTGTTGCCTCCCTGACTGCACGTGTTGAATCCTGACAAGACTTTTGATGTGAGTAAACCTTGCATTTTTCTTGTTTACTAAATGGTCTGAGAGTGATTTCTTTCTTAACAGGGAAACATAAAACAGGAAAAAGATAATCCAAGCCTGCCTAGAGCTTCCTTGGATATCATAATTGTTCTAGAAGGTTATGCAACCTTGTCCTAATAGCTTCTAGAGATAAGCTGTGCACGGATGGTGATTTTAACTCTGCTAAAATAGATATTTGCATGCTCACAAAAATGAAAAAAGGAAGGGTAGTTATTAAATAGAATATCCTCTCCTACTCATCTAAATCCATCTAACACTGACCAGACCCAGGCCTGCCTCAGCAAAGTTTATGACTTCGTGCCTGTTCAGATCACAGCCCTCTGCATGTGTGCACGTTCACTGAATATTTGATATTCCACATTAGCGTTCATCATCCAGTGATCTTTTCAGTAGCTGTCAGACTTACAGTATCCGTCAGTATTTGGCAGCTGACATGCAGGAAGAGAGAGCGCTTTGACAGTATCTTACATGTACCAATCAATATCTGACAGTATCTAACAGTTGGTGTGCAGTGGCATTTAATACATTTTGTACTAAAATAATTCATTTATTTACCCAATCATGGAAAAAATCCCACCCTTCAATAGGTTAAAAAAAACACATACACGCTAAGCAAAACAGTTAAATTGCAAATGTTGATGTAAAAAATTGAGTTTGAAATTCAAATGTTGATGGGGGGGGGGAATCAGATGTTGAAGTCAGCATTTTTAGATTTGTTGAACTTCAGTTAAGAAAAAAAGATTTCGCACTGCTTTCTGTATAATCAGATGATGATGATGGTTTTTTGTTTTTTTGCCCAGCAAATTCTCATTGGTCTTGCTGCACATCTTTCTTTCAAGGTGCTACTTTGGGGCTGTCTCATTTCCTGAGCATTTACCCAAGGGCACTACTTTATACCTGGGAAAATGTGACCCTCCTTCAGAAATCACTATTGGTTGTGATTGCGATTAGTGCATGGAATGAGATGGTGCAAGTGCCACAGGCAAGCTGTTTATTTATTTCCCACATCTATGCCCCACCTTTCCCACAAACCTGTGAGGTCAACACTCACAATCAAATTAAGATGGCTTACAATCAAATATTGGATCTGAACTCTGCTGCATGTATACACAAATAAAGCATTTTTATAGCACTTACACAGAGAACATCTCTGCGAGTATTACAACAAGCTAGTACTATATTGTTATTCCTATGCTAAGATGGTGTTTGAGGCTAAGGGCCTCATACTTTCTAAACCACAGACTGCAAGTGCAGGATTTACATGGCGGCTTCCTGCTATAAATACGGCAAACGTGAATCATAATAGATGTGCCTACTTAAACACTCCAATAACAAATCCTTAACAGACCAAATCCTGGACATTAAATTGCAACATAAACCAAGCGCATTTTGGCACAAAGGTCTTCATCAATGGCCAAATATGATATCAAAACAAAAAAGTAAACATAGCAAATCTGTAAAATAAAATAAAAAATTCATGAAATCAGCACTTCTATAATAATAATAATAATAATAATAATAATAATAATACCACATACCTAACCACCTGCCCTGCCCCATCCTGATGGGCTTATGGCTTGTGTTGAAAAAGAGGGTACACAGGATTTGGCCTAAGAAGGATTTATGACTGGAATGTTTGTATATGCGATCCCTCTTTATTGTAAGAAAGCATTCTGATTCCCCCCTTCACTCCGTGTATAAAGGTTTGGGGTTCTTTTTTTTGTTAAAGATCATTCGGTTGTTTGTAGGGCAAGCTCAACCATTTGATGGAGCGAGGTGAATGTCTCAGGAAGTATATTTCGAGAGAATTTAACATTGCGTTCTTCTGATCGTTCCGTCACTGCAATCGTTCCGTCAGCTTGCAAATGAAACCATCTCCACTCATTATCTCCTAATGTATTATCATTGCATTTTTATCTTTAACTTCGCTTGCCTTGGGTATTATACACTTTGACTTGGAGGGGTGGGGGGTGCAGTGGGAAGGGCGCCATTTGCTGCTATGCTTTGGGAAGCAACATGTTTTGGGTCAGCCATGGTGTTTCACACTTAAACAACTGTATACCTGGTTGAGAGTCCTGAGTAACAGGTCTTTCAACCCAGTGCATCTGCTATCAACATCTGCCATGAATTTGCTACTGGGGGAGGGGAGAGAGGAGATAATACTGTGGCACTCACACCCTCAAACATTTATCCAATTAAAATAGGGATGTCCCATTCCATAATGATAATTTTACTATTTATACCCCACACATCTTACTGGGTTGCTCCAGCCATTCTGGGCGGCTTCCAACATATATAAAAACACCATAGAGCATTAAACATTAAGAAAACTTCCCTATACAGGATTGCCTTCAGATGGTTCAGGAGTCGGATAGCTCCATACCCTGCAAGATTTCTCCAGTGAAAATAGGGACGTTCTAAGGAAAAGGGACTCGGGTGGTGCTGTGGTCTAAACCACTGAGCCTAGGGCTTGCCGATCAGAAGGTTGGCGGTTCGAATCCCCACGACGGGGTGAGCTCCTGCTGCTCAGTCCCAGCTCCTGCCAACCTAGCAGTTCAAAAGCACTCCAAAAAGTGCAAGTAGATAAATAGGTACCATTCCGGCGGGAAGGTAAAAGGCGCTTCTGTGCGCTGCTCTGGTTTCGCCAGAAGCGGCTGGCCAGATGACCCGGAAGCTGTCTGCGGACAAACGCCGGCTCCCTCGGCCTGAAAGCGAGAGGAACACCGCAATCCCAGAGCCATTCGCGACTGGACTTAACTGTCAGGGGTCCTTTACCTTTACCTTTTTAAGGAAAAGTGGGTCATTCTGGGATCAATTTAGAAACCGGGACAACTTCTCTAAATCAAGGACTTCCCTGGAAAATAGGGACACTTGGGGAATCAGTGCCATATAAAGTGTGTATCTGCTCTGCCCCATCCCATGGTTTCGTGACTACAGGTCCAGTTTGAACTGAGACACCCTGGTCTCACGGCTACCACTGAAGTCACTTGACAACACCAGCTTATTATTATCATTAGCACCATTATCTCAGACATTTCCGTGATTTCTTTTTTTTTTAATTAATACAACTATTTGTTTATTTTAACCATTTATTTGAGAACTATCTACTGCCTCTTCTGCGACAGGGGCTTTGAATTCTATCCTGCTGTCACAGAGCATCCAATGACCCGAAATGCTGCTCCCTGGCTGCCGCAGCCAAGTTAGCCATAAAGGCAAACTCAGAACCCGCCTCTTTTGCTGAAGGAGCAGTGCCTGTCTCAGCGAGGCAAAACTTTTGGAGCCACGGCCTCTCTTCCTGGCGGAGGGGCACAAAGACACCAGGGGGGACGGGGACGGGGACGTCTGCTGCACTTTTGAGGACATGCCTGAGCACCTCAACCAGCAGGAGAGGGCAGGGCAGACATTCATAGATGAGTGCCTTGCTTCTAATCCCTTTCCGTTGTCCTGCGAGTTGTTTTTAATAATGATAATAATAATAATAATAATAATAATAATAAATTTATACCCCACCCATCTGGCTGGGTTTCCCAGCCACTCTGGGCAGCTTCCAACAAAACACTAAAATACAATAACCTATTAAACTTTAAAAGCTTCCCTAAACAGGGCTGCCTTCAGATGTCTTCTAAAAGTTTGGTAGTTATTTTTCCCTTTGACATCTGGTGGGAGGACGTTCCACAGGGTGGGTGCCACTGCCGAGAAGGCCCTCTGTCTGGTTCCCTGTAATGGCTTCTCGCAGCGAGGGAACTGCCAGAAGACCCTCAGCACTGGACCTCAGTGTCCGGGCAGAACAATGGAGGTGGAGACGCTCCTTCAGGTATACTGGACCGAGGCTGTTTAGGGCTTTAAAGGTCAGCACCAACACTTTGAATTGTGCTCGGAAACGTACTGGGAGCCAGTTTAGGTCTTTCAAGACCGGTGTTATGTGGTCTTGGCGGCCGCTCCCAGTCACCAGTCTAGCTGCCGCATTCTGGATTAGTTGTAGTTTCCGGGTCACCTTCAAAGGTAGCCCCACAGAGAGCGCATTGCAGTAGTCCAAGCGAGAGATAACTAGAGCATGCACCACTCTGGCGAGACAGTCTGATTTTTTTATCGATTTCCAATGGGTTACAAGCACGGCATTGCTATAGGAATTGGCAAACCAAGATAATCCTGGCGAACCCTTGGCCATTCATGCTCTAATGTTGCGAAGCAAGATGCCCAGCAGGTTGATAAGATGAGGGAGGATGGTGGGAAACTTGAACCTGCCCAGGGCTGTGGAAAAACCTTGTGGTGGCCCTGCCTCCTGTCATGGCTCACCTTTCCTTTCCACCAGAAGGATCACATCTCCTGTCCGCGTATGTTCCTGCAAGACACTCTCCACTTCTCCCGGGCTCAGGTCCCGCACGTCAGCCCCGTTCACCTTTGCAATGACATCCCCTTCCTCCAGCAAGGGGCATCGCTGTCGGTCCCAGATCTTCACGACCCGAGCCCCCGGCCTGCCCCCACTGAGAGACCCCACTCCAAACCACGGGCCAGAGGGGCTGCAGGGCAAGGGCACTGGGGTGAGGCGGCTGCAGGGTGGCCCCCGGTGGAGGTGCCGTTCGGCATGTTCCTCTTCGTCGCCCAGGCAGGCTTTGGTGCAACAGCGGACGCTGAGTCCACGGGTCCTGCGGGATGGGGGCGGGCCAGCTTCTTGGCCGCAAGCTGGACCCCTGGGGACAGTGGGGCTGGGGGGCACAGCCCCGTACGTTGGCGGAGGGCGTCGGGACAGGAGAGGCTCCCCATCAGAAAGGCAGGAGCAAGGTGACTGGCGATGGGTATATTGCAGGATGCAGTTCCCGTCCACCACTACTACGACATTCACTGAAAAGGTGGAAGGAAAATAAAAGACAGGCAGCAAGACAGTACCTTTCAGAGCCAAGATTAGGGCTTAAAAAAAATTTCCGCCATACAAAATCTCTTCCAGATTCTGCAGAAATCTAGTCAAATATTCATTTGCCAAACAAGTCACCCGATATTTGATATCTGCATTTGACGTCCTATGATATTTGACGCTGCTTGGTATTATTTGGAACTAGGTGACATGTAATGGTATTTAGTACTTCATTTAATAACTGGCATGCAACATTTTTTATTTTTTTTAGTAGTCAATAATATTTAACAGCTAATAAGCAATGGGATTTAGTATTTGATGGTTGGCAAGCAATAGTATTTAGTATCTGATTGTATTTGGTAAGTGACATGTAATGGTATTTAGTATTTAATAACATTTGATAGATGGCATGCTGTGGTGTTTAGTATTTGACAGCTGACGGCTTATGTGGTTTCATTTTTCTTTATAGTATATTATGGATGTATGTCATGAGCGGCTTTAATAATCTAGTGGAGCTGGTTTTAACGAAGTATATGTGTGTAAATAAACAAAGAAATGCCTGCCAAAAGCACCAAGAGATGCCAGCAAATCTAAACAGTTCTAATTCAGAGGCACAATGTCACATTCCAAATGCACATGTAAAAATGGTGAAATTGGAAATTTCAGTGAATTTCAAATACCCATTTCAGCTCTAGGCAAGATGAGGCATTGCTATGGAATGCAAGGCCATAAACTCGTTATAAACTAGCCATTCATACATTTAGAAGGACTAATATTCTGGAATCGTCTGCTTGGAGCAGTTGCAGGAGCCAAGATACCCATTGACTGCAAAACAGAATTGGATACATTGGTAACAGGTATATCATGATTTCCTATTCCGATATTTAATTGGGGCCCTTTGGGTTCAGAGAAGTTCTCCCCTTGCCACAAAGACCTTGGACATTTTTAATCCTTCCTCAGGAATATCAGACGTGACCACAGATGAAGATGAGGTGTTGTGATTTTCCCCTGGGGGTAGGCTTGAGGGCACTGGTTTGGGATTGCAACACATTGCCGTATTTGTGGCTGCGAAGGAACTGTTCCAGGTAATCCTAAATAATGTGGAATGTACCATATTTTTTGCTCTATAAGACTCACTTTTTCCCTCCTAAAAAGTAAGGGGAAATGTGTGTGCGTCTTATGGAGCGAATGCAGGCTGCACAGCTATCACAGAAGCCAGAACAGCAAGAGGGATTGCTGCTTTCACTGCGCAGCGATCCCTCTTGCTGTTCTGGCTTCTGAGATTCAGAATATTTTTTTTCTTGTTTTCCTCCTCCAAAAACTTGTGGTCTGGTGCGTCTTATAGAGCGAAAAATACGGTAGTTGTGCTGTGTTGTAATAAACAGATATGATTCTTCTACACAGGAGTGCCAGCTTGGCCCTGCCACCATGGGTGCCCAAGGCTGTGGGTGCCATGCAGTGTGCATGGCCTTGGGACTGATATTTGGGGGTGCCCAGTCCCTTCATGGGGAATTTTGTGGGTGCTTGGGCACTTTGGGGCCCCAGGGAGTTGGCACCTATGCTTCTACAGAATGGTTCCCAGACTGTTCTCTTTCATTAAAACAGACCGTCTTGACCAGGCATAGGCAAACTCGGCCCTCCAGATGTTTTGGGACTACAACTCCCATCATCCCTAGCTAACAGGACCAGTGATCAGAGATGATGGGAATTGTAGTCTCAAAACATCTGGAGAGCCGAGTTCGCCTATGCCTGGTCTTGACTCTACTGCCAGAAAAATATTTTTTAAGTCAAAAAGCATGGGTTTTATCCCACAAGACGAAACTTTCAATGTTTCAGGCCTCTCTCTCTTTTTGCCTGTGTTTCAGGAGAGAGGCTGCCATTCTGGCCATTACATTTGGGGTGTACAAACTTTGCAAAGGCAGGAGAAACCGCCATAGCTCACGTTGTGGCATGTGCAATGGGCACATGTTCTTAAGAAAGCCCTACAGTGCTTCGTTTGGTGAAGCTGGGCAGGAACGGTGGCGCTACGTTCTGGAACATACTGCAAAGTTCAGCCATGGCACAGCCTTGTGCACAAGTCCACAAAATGTCTCCCTAGCCTGCCTGTCATATCTGATGTCCAAAGGGTTGGTGGACGTTTGAAGCACATTCTTTCCCTCAAAGAATTCTGGGAATAGCTTGTTAAGGGTTGCTGGGAACTGTAACTCCTGTGAGGTTAAACTAGAGGGCCCAGAATTATTGGAGAAAAAGAACCTGCCATGGATGTGCTTTAAAAGTGTGTGCACAGTCTTTTCTAAAGGCTTCAGGGAATTCTTGTTCGCCACAGGCAACCTGTTATTTACAAGCCTGCTTCAACTGGAGGAGAGTAGGTTCTCCTGCTAGCATGACTTGATGGTGGCATTCACACAAACTCTAACTCAGGGATCGGCAACAGGAAACACAGGGAACAAATCTCCACCCCCTGAAATCCACTTTACTTCTGGTTCCCAGCGTAGGCCCTGATGTTCTCCCAAGCTGAGAGGCAGGTGAGGGATTCTAAGTCCTTCCTTTCAGCTTGGGCAGCAGAAGTGGCTTTGGCAGTGCTCTTCCTTAAATCACCTCAGCTCCTCATCATCACATGCAAGCCAAGATACAAGGAAATGGTAAAGAGAAGGCCCTCAAGCAGGGACCCGAAATCCGAGAAATAGTTGTGGGCACCTCAGACATACCCATTTCACAGAAGAAAAACTGGCAGTGCTTAGACTCCTCCCCCCCAAAAAAACCCGCAACCCCCCCTCAAAACAAATAAAACACGCAGAGGGGGAAAACAAGTGATAACCCCCCCCCAAAAAACCCCAAAAGAATCAAAAACAAAACAAAGCTCACTCCTTGATTTAAAATAAATTAGGAGGACCAAGTTCCAAGACAGCATTTTGTTTCTCACACACAGGTCCTACTTTGCAGACCCGGGTTCGAAAGGAAGAGCTCTACCAAAGCCTGCAAGGTGGAGGGAATAGAGTCCTTTGCCTCCATCTTGGTTTGAGTGGGAATTAGGCCCCATCTGCACTATCACATTCAAAGCAGTATCACATACCCTCCAACATTTCTCCGATGAAAATAGGGACATCCCATTCCATTATGAAATTTTTACTATTTATACCCCACACATCTGACTGGGTTGCCCCAGATACTCTGGGCAGCTTCCAACATATATAAAAACATAATAAAACATCAAACATTTAAAAAATCCTTCCCTATACAGGATGGCCTTCAGATGGTTCGGGGGCTGGAAAACTCCATAACCTCCAACATTTCTCCAATGAAAATAGGGACATCCTAAGGAAAAGTGGGATATTCTGGGATCAAATCGGAAACTGGGACAGCTTCTCTAAATCAGGGATGTCCCTGGAAAATAGAGACTTGGAGGGTCTGGCATCATATTACTTCAAACAATCATGGCTTCCCACAAAGAACCCTGCGAGTTGTAGTTTGCTAAGAGTGTTGAGAAATTTTAGGAGATTCCTATTCCCCTCAAAGAGCAACAAATTCCAGAGTTTCCTGCAAAGGAGGGATTGACTGTTAACCCACTCTGATAATTGTATCTCTGTGAGGGGAATAATGGTCTCCTAGCAACAATCAGCACCCTTAAGAAAGTGCAGTTTCCAGGTTACTTTGGAGGAAGCCATTACTGTTTAAAGTGCTATAATGTTGCTTTAAATATACAATGCAGATGGGGTCTTAGAGAGTCAATATTGCTGACCATTCTGCACTTACTGGGCTGAAAAGGACCCCATTAAAATCAATTGCCAATTGCAACCCCCACTGTAGGGTCTCCTACTTATAACAACACCCAAACTCCCTCCACACTTACCTCCTGCAGCTGGGGTGGTCTCTGTTGCAGGAATACGAGCCTCACAAGTCACCTGGGGGCTTTGTCTTGTGCTGCAGCTTTTGGAAGGGGGACAACAACGAGAGGTGAGTATTTCTCAGGAAGGCAGACTCCTCCATTCCCTTGCTCCCCACTTCAGTTGATCAGCCCTCTCAGGCGGAGGACGAGTAGCGCATTGGACTGACCTGATGCCACAGGGCTCGATCCTCTCTGAACCCCAGTCGTGGACATGGGGGCCAGCACCCCCCATGACTGCCCCACAGTCAGCGCAGCCAGGGATCTCACTTCGGGGACCCAAGCTCAGTCCCCCACATCCAACAGGGGAGCTTCGTAGGGTCCCCAGAGGTTGCCTCACTTTGTCCTGCGCAGAGACACAAATGTTGACATACAGCTCAGTTTCCAGGATGCTTTGTGCATTGACTAAGTTTTTACTCAGACTAGACCCACTGATATAAATGTGATTGAGGCGCCTTAACCCCAATAGGCCTGCTTAGCTGAAAACCACCCAGTGAGAGCCATAACATCAGAGGGCGGGGAACCTTTTTCAGCTGGAGGGCCACCTTCCCTTTGGTACAATCTCCGAGGGGCCGCACGTCAGTTGTGTGAAGGGCCAGAGGCAAAAATGGGCAGAGCGATGAGTATAAATTCCACCTTTGGAAGTTGCAAGCAAGGGTCGTTCGACAAAAAGCACTCAAGGAGGATGTGAAGAAAGGTCACCAAGCGGTGTGGCTAGGGAAAGATGGTGTGGCGTGGAGTCCCCATGGCCCAGAGAGCATTGAAAGGCCCCATGAAAGAGAGGTTCTGGCTAGTCCAGCTTCAAATGGGTGCTTGTGGCAACACCTTCTCCTGACCGCCAAGTGCTTGACTCTCCCGCCTTGAGTTTTGCTCTTGTTTGTGCAACCACAGAAAAGCAGGGGGAAGAGGGGGCTTCTCAAGCCCCTGGCAGGCTGCACTATAAAGCAGGTGGTCTGTGCCTAGCCTGGTGACACACACTCTCCTGAACGAATCCCCTCAGTGCCCTAAGGGAATATGAGGAGGTTCTTGCCCTGGCCTCTTCCTTCAGAGAAGTGAAAGGTATGGCTTATTTGTTTGTTTGCAACATTTACAAGGTTATCACCAAGAAAACTGGGATCTAGATAGCCGAAGAACACAAAAAAGAAATCATATCAGATTGGTATTGTTACATTACCTTATATCGCAAATATAAACAATTACAAACGAAACCTGAAATTACTCCGCTCAGTAAAATAAACCCAATTGTAAAGCGTTTCAGGAAAAACGAATCAAACCATGAAAAAGAAAATGTACATGGAAGGGCTTATTGAAAAGGGGAGAAGCTTTCTTGTCCATGGGTGAGGGCTTTTTAACAAAGCAGGGGAAGTGCTTTAGCCTATTTGCTTCCTCTTTGCTTTGCTGCCTGCTGGCCTTGTGGAGCAAGCAGCGGCCCTGTCCGTGGAGCAGTTTTTGGAAAGTGGGTGTGAAGCGTAGGAGCCACTCTTTTGCTGCTCTGCTTGTTTTGTTTTGCTCTCTGCCAGCCACATGAAGTGGTAAGTCAGCAGCTACTTTAAAAAAATGTGTGGGGTGTGTGTCAAGGGCAAGCATGGCAACTGCCTGTTGGCTCATTTTGCTGCCTGTCAGCCATGTGGCAGGCAGCTGCCTGATGGTCGTTTTGAAAAGGTGGGGTTGCAGGAAGAAATGAAACCCATTGTTGCTACCTTTGTTTTGTTTGCTGCCACATGCAGCAGACACAGTGTTAGAAACTCAGATATATAAGGTAGGCGCCAAATGTCTCCTTACATCAAGGTTGTAGCTGCCAAAACAGAATGTCTAGTTGCCATTTGGGGGCAAGGCGGCTCTGAAGTCTTATTTTTCAAATGATGGTCTGACTGTGATTATCAGTTAAACATCTGGCTAGTTCAGATGACAATCTTGAGCTCGGTTAAGAGCTTTGAGCACTTAAAGAAGAAAAGTTAATTGATCCAATGACAGTTCACATATATATCAGCTTTTCCCAACCCCTTTTTCTTAACAGTGACTGCTCCTACACAGGCTGCACAGTAAAAGTGTTTTTCCCCCAGAAAATCATTCCGATTGTGCAGATAAAATATAATGGATAGAATTTGACAGGATGGGGTATTAGTGTGTGAAAACAGTCCAGATCCAAGGATCTCCGACAGTGGAGATGTCAGGCGCCATTCTGGCACCCAGGAATCTTCACTTGGTTCCAATGTCCGATAGTCAGGTGTGAAATACACCTGGCACCTGGCTAATTTTGAACACTGAGCAGGCAGCAACCAGAGAAGAGCATCAGTTGAATAGAAGGGTAAGGAGGAGATGTGGAAATCCTTTTTTGTTTATGTTGCATGTCATACAGCAGGAATTGTTCCAAAGCTGTTGGTGCGGGAAGGCCAGGCAGAGGCACTATTATCTCATTTTTCTTATATTTCCCCAAGTTGTTTTGGGGGTGGGGCAAATTGTAGAGGCATTATCACTATTACTGCTTCAGAGGTTTTGAGACCACCTCATCGAACCTCCCCACAAAAAACCCAGAACGACTGTTCATGAAATAGCTGGTGTTGTCAAATCGCCCTGTAAACAAATCAGGTTGAATGCTCAATAAACAGGGTATTTGGAAGTGCCTTGTGAAAAGTGTGGCACAGCTGAGTACACACAATCTCACTTTCCCCCTCTCTACGCATTAAAATAACATCTGAAAGGGGCCGAACAATCAGCAGAGTCAAGTGGGAAACTTTTGTCAGGACTGGACTGGTCTCTCACTGAAAAAAATTTCTCATCCCTGCACACTGAAAGCTAGCATGTCAGGGAGAAGCCAATATTCCAATGGATAAGTTTTTTGTGTGAAGGGAGTTGGAAGGGAGTATTTAAAATGGTAAAAGTACCTATAGTATGAGAGACAAAACATGCTGTCTTTTATACAATATGACAATAATATTTTCTGAATGGCTTACTACCTCTTTTTGAATCATCCTAGAGTATGTTCAGTAGTAGATGGCATCTTTGGTTAGATCACCTTCTGAGAGAGCTCGTGTGTGGCCATGAGACAAAGCCCTGATCCCAGAAATATTTTGCTCAGGTGTCACCTCTGCCATAAAACACAGTTAAGTACCACCCCACTGGCAATATGAGAATAATAACACTATTTTACTGGACAAGGCTGTTGTAAGGATTACTGAGAATGCATGGGAATTATTCATAGGCTAAGTAATATTATTATATTTATAAGATTAAACCTATTGTTGAACCACTAAGACTGGACCATTTGAAATTTAAATGCCCATTTTGAATCCCCATAAAGTAGAGCTGTATGAACTACCCTGCAGAACGCTTGCTGAAGAGTTATGTGTTACTAGAAAGCCTGCCTGAGGCCAGAGTATGCTTGATGCAAAATGGGCATTAAACCTCCACATAGCTGATTCATGTAAAACAACAATAACACGCAAATTCACTTCTTTTCTGTCTCTAGAACCCCTGGGATAATATCTGCACTGATACCTGATTTCTAAGATTCTCTCTGAGGTTCTGACAGCAAATACTGCAGTATCTTGAATGTTATCAGTTTTACAGTGATTCTAAAATCACAAATCTCTTTCTTTAGTGACAACTACAACAATCAGTTCCAACATTGCATCTAATAATATTTTGTCTCAACATGCATGTCTTCTCACCAGTGCTGTGCTCCATCTGACATTTTACTGGCTAATCACCTATGTATACCACCTCCCAAGAATCCTGGGAAACGTAGTTCGCCCCTCACAGAGCTACAATTCCCAGTACCCTTGGAATAACAACAGTTCCCATGGTTTTTTGGGTGTGTGCGATTTAAATGCACTTCAAATGTATGGCGAGAGCTCAGAGAGAAAGACCATCTCTTGCAGACCACCCCAGTGCCTTCAGATTTCATCCTCTTGAGTCATATATCATCATGCGAAGGGCAAAGGATCACTGGTCCCTTTTCAGAACTGAGGCAATTGTTTGGGGGAAGGGGAGAGGGGAGAAAGAGTTTTACTACTGGGTCCTGGGACCTCTGCAAAAGGAAGGGGTTCCTGTCAGAATTTATAAGGGGAACACTCTAGAAAGCAGTCCGATCCCAGGAGACCCAAGGAAAGGAAACACTCTGAGCAGTAGAAAACAGAGATTGGGTTTAGCACCTAACTAGTCACGACGCGGGTGGCGCTGTGGGTTAAACCACAGAGCCTAGGACTTGCCGATCAGAAGGTCGGCGGTTCGAATCTCCGTGACGAGGTGAGCTCCTGTTGCTCGGTCCCTGCTCCTGCCAACCTAGCAGTTCGAAAGCACGTCAAAAGTGCAAGTAGATAAATAGGTACCACTCCGGCGGGAAGGTAAACGGTGTTTCTGTGCGCTGCTCTGGTTCGCCAGAAGTGGCTCAGTCATGCTGGCCACATGACCCGGAAGCTGTACGCTGGTTCCCTCGGCCAATAAAGCGAGATGAGCGCCGCAACCCCAGAGTCGGCCACGACTGGACCTAATGGTCAGGGGTCCCTTTACCTTTACCTTTAGTCAGGTGGAAGGATGGAAACAGGGAGCGAAGGCTCTGCTGAAAAAACACAGTCCTTCTCTTTCCCTTGTTCCAGGATCAGCAGTTAAAGAATCCTAGGATATGGAGTGGGAAATCCCGGCATTACTCCGTGTCAGGATCTGCTCCTTACCTGGGTGAAGGCCATGCTCCTGGAGTAAAGGTCCAGGCTAATCCCACTCTGCACCCAGAGCTGTCTGCCTAGTTAACCCCCTTTGTTGGGGTTGCGGCAGGTACTAAGCAGGTGGTTTCGTGGGGGTGGGGGGTTGCTGCCACTGAACCCGCTGCCGGAAAGTGCCCTGTCACTTCCACTCAGCACCCAACGAGTCACCCGTCTCCTCGCTGGCCTGTCACAGCCTTCTCTGCTCGTCCCCAGCACCCCTCCCCGGCCCGGCTGTCAGGTCCTATCCATCTCTTGACATCATCCACTCACCTGCCCCCGCCTCCCCGCCCCCCCCTCTCATCCCTTCCCTCTCCTCCTTTCCTCCCATCAGCAGCCACCCCCATCCAGCCCATCTCCATCCATCACCCTCCCCGCAGGCAGCCACCTGGTTCTCCCCCCTCCCCCCCAACCAACTTTAACCCACTGCACTACAGGCCGGCTACTTATCTTCTCCTCGTCCTCCCGCTACCCCTTCCCTCCCCACCCCTGCAGGGTAGACCCGGGAATCCTATTAGAAGGGCTGATCCTCCAT